CCTTAACTTCCTACGCCACCTATACCCTCCTACATCACCTATACTTCCTAACCCACCTTTACCCTCATACGTCATCTATACTTCTTATACCACCTATACCCTCCTGCATATGTACATCACATTTAATTCCTATACCACCTATACCCTCCTACATCACCTATACATGTACTTCCTTTACCACCTACACCCTTCTACATCACCTACAAATGTAAACTGAATTTACCATCTATACCCTCCTGCATTTTTTTAGTTACTTTATTTAAGTTATTATCTTCATTTGATTTATTTCAATATTTTTATTTATTTTATTGATTTATTGATTAATTTGTTTTATTTCTTATTTTATTTCCTTTTATTAATTAATCAATTAATTTGTTTTATTTATTCAATTTAATTATTTATTGTTTTTTGTTGTTTTTTGTGGCGGTTTTTTAACCATTAACACGTTCTTTGTTAGTCTTTTCAATATTTTAAATACTTATTTGAATACTCATCACCATTTTATGAAATATTAAAAATAAATAATAATGTGTCCTCTTAATTCAACTTAAAGAAATACCGAATACACAACTAGTAAAATTATTAGGTCTCAATGATTTTCAANATTTTATTGATTTATTGATTAATTTGTTTTATTTCTTATTTTATTTCCTTTTATTAATTAATCAATTTATTTGTTTTATTTAATTAATTTAATTTTTTATTTGTTTTTTGTTTTTTTTTTGGCCGTTTTTTAACCATTAACACGTTCTTTGTTAGTCTTTTCAATATTTTAAATACTTATTTGAATACTCATCACCATTTTATGAAATATTAAAAATAAATAATAATGTGTCCTCTTAATTCAACTTAAAGAAATACCGAATACACAACTAGTAAAATTATTAGGTCTCAATGATTTTCAACGGCGTAATCAAAGTCAATTTATTGTCAATGTTGGCAGGGGCCTTATACCTCTCTAACCACACAGGCAGCACCCCCGATACATATTGCGTGTCGAGCACAGGACTTACATAATTCGACCTGGACGTAAACAAAAAACACAATATAGACAATTCAATTAACGAAAACCATAAACACATAGAGATAAAACTAGAAATATTTTATAAAATGAAATTCGCCGTTAATACGCACTAATTATATATCTTCAATCCAGACTACCCTGGTGTCATTACGAAGCCATCAGCCCATTAGTGATGGAAGTATTTGAAGATTTAGTGTTATTTGATTCATATATTCATATGAACAGAATGATATCAGTATGGAAAATAAATATTTAAAATATACAAATAACTAATTACTCAATTATTTTCTACTTAAAATTTTACTGGCCAATTAAGGTACGTGTAAAGACATGCATCTATCAATCAGCACACGACGCAGCCCAAATATTTGCTAAACTTCCGACCGATTATTTCCTGTATTTATCTATTTTATTTGTATATTGATTTTGTTTTTAATTTGCAAACTTTATAATCCGTATACCTATTTTTTTATATAAAATCCTTTCAGCACTCACATATTCTTAAAATAACCTGCACATCGATCGTTTTCTTACATAACCAGCAAAACGCATGTTCAACGCACATTCAACGCTGAAGTTAAAACGCACAACAAACGGTCAACGCAAACTCAACGCAAACGCAACGCAAACGCAACGGAAACGGAACGCAAACACAACGGAAACGCAACGCACCTTTGGTAAAGAAAAACGATCCAGGGTCTGTAACAGAAAGTTATTTCGGAATTTTAAACATTTTTTTCATGTTTTCACATATTGGGTTGATAGGATTTGTCCTATCATGTGCAACCCAATAACCAAATTCGTGAAAAGTGAAAAAAAA